GTTAACGATAAAAACGATAACAAAATAACGCTGAAAACCGATAAAAACCCTGAAAACTATACATTTCACACCTGAGCCTCAACTCTCGCGGCCTGGTACCAAACGACTCACGGACCGGTACCGGTCCGAGGCCCGGGGGTTGGGGACCGCTGCTCTACAAAACAGTGTCTCATCAGACTAAAGTATGTACCAAAAAGCATGACAACTCTAAATACATAAGGAACAATAAATGTAATAATATATTAAACAATATTTTAATATTTTTTCTCTTTCAGTGGTGTCACTTAATTGCAGTAGCCCTGACTATGTTACATTTGGAAAAAACGTGACTCTAAATTGTTACATAAATTCAAAAGGGGGCTCAGACTGTAGAGCTCTAAATTATTCCTGGATGAACCAAAATCATACCAGCTGTATTGTGGCTTGCCACAATACAGCTGTGAGTATCTATCAGCAGCTGATAGATACTCACTACAGAGTGAGTATCTATCAGCATCTTAAAATTTATGTGTTTGAATGAGTGTATTTTTTGTTCAGACATACATAAATTGTATTCAGTGCATCTGTAACTGTGTTGTACTTTGTCAGGTGGACCAGCTCCAACACTAGGTCACATCATTAGGCCCGAGGAGTCAACACGTGTGACAACCATTGTACTTTGTGTTTTTGCCTCTGCTGTTGCTGTAGTAATTTTATATTTCCTGTATAGAACTTACAGGTGCAGAGTAAGTGAGAGGACGGTGACGTAGACTGCACCAGTCTGTAGCAGAACATAAATGCATATATTTGCTGTTTGTGAAAGAGTCGGCTCATCAGTTATTCTTTGATGCAGTCTAATATGCATACAATAATAGGATGTGAATAATAGAGCATTCCATTCCAGTCTTTCCCTTTTACTCAGCAGACTTTAGTCTGCTGAGTAAAAGGGAAAGACTATGGGTCAAACTTGGGAATGTGAATTTCCTGCCTGATGAATAAACATTTAAGAAAAAATAGGACTGTACCTGTATGTGTTGTAAAACTGAGTCTAATTAATGTCCACAGAGTTGACTTCTCATTCATGTTCTCATTATGTAAAGTGACGAGAAGTTGGATAACCTACTTACTTTGTAAATCCATTGATGTCTGTCCACCTGGACTTCTTCACATAATTCTGATCACAGCTCACAGTAAAAGTCATCCAACACTTGCTTTAGACTGTGATGGATGATGAAAGGGGATGTCATGGTGGAAACATCAATTCGTATCAATACAGTCTATATTTATACAGTAGACTGAATGCAGCATTGTAAACATGTTATTATGGAAACAATGTAATTCCTCTGAGACAACTCTTCCTCTGTTTCATCTTTTTTTTACCATTTCTTTCTGTGTATATGTGTCA